TCTGTGTTCATTGTGTGAGCTCTGAGGAGAGATGCAGGAGTGTGCAATCTGTGAAAATACTGCTGTAGTGATTGATCACGTCACCATTTCCCTGCCTTCTGTCCTTCAGGCACAGAGAGACATCATATTTGAGCTGAGAAGAATTGCATTTGATGCAGAGTCTGACAGCAACACCGTCCCTGGCAGCGGAACAGAGAAACGCAAAGCCATGTACACCAAGGACTACAAGATGCTGGGATTCACTGTATGCATCTAGACTGTCAAGGCAATCTGAGCAATCTCCACAGGAGTTGTGGGGAAATAAGGAACAGAAATAGCTGTTATTTTATAAAAGCTGTTTCCTTTACCTTACTTTGGTATCTGAGTTTAGAGATTCAGTTTCACTCACGCTCCTGGGGAGGATCGTTATGAATTTGCTGATGGGTTAAATGCAGGGGTTCATTAGGCACTCTCTGGAGGTATTTCCTTACCATATGCACCAGTGCTATGAAGAACTTGGAACCAGCCTCTCCTCTAGAAAGTTCAGATAGCATTGTCAGCAGGTATTCAGGGTTACCTCTTGGATAGATGTGAGAGAGTGCTTGATGGACAGGTGGTTTAAAATTCATTCAGAAAAGGTTCTCACACAATTCCTTTGAGCTAATTTGTTTGGATTCTTTCTACACACTCTTTTCACAGAATCACATCAATCCAGCCATGGATTTTACACAGACTCCCCCTGGGATGCTGGCATTGGACAACATGCTTTACTTGGCCAAATTTCATCAGGACACCTATATCAGGGTACGTGAAGCTGCTGATTTTTACAGATGCCAACACCTCAGCAGCAGCTCTTCTTAGTGTGTGTGGCATCCTGTTCTTGTAGATTGTTCTGGAGAACAGCAGCCGAGAAGATAAACATGAGTGTCCCTTTGGACGCAGTGCCATCGAGCTCACCAGGATGCTTTGTGAGATCCTGCAAGTTGGGGAACTCCGTAAGTACCATTTACTACCCAGCTTCACAGGCTGCTGGGCTGATGCTTCTAAAACCTAATATTCACAAGCATTTGTACCTTGATCTCATTTCTGCCATGTAAGGAAAGGACGAGCTTGGAGTTAGCACAGTTAATGTCTGAGTGATAACATCATTATCAAAATAAAGTAAGAAATTTTGGTGTGTGCACTCTGGTTCTCCTGAAAAACTGATACAAGCAGAAAGCTTCGACTTCCCAGAGCTTCAGAAGGGTGCTCTGTTAAAAAAAATAATCTTGAAACCACCATGAACTTGGGAAAAGTTTGTTAGCTCTGACAGTTGGAAAACAGCATTCTGAGAAAATTAACCACTGTAAGAAATTCCACCAGAGGAAGGTGGGAAACACTGTAAGCAGTTACTTTGGGGGACCAGGATGAAAAGGGCATGAGTCACAGAGGTTTGCATGGTGAAGTGTGGGGAGAATTGCTGTTATCAATAAACTATCTATGGGGTGACAAAGTATTGAAATGTCTTAATCTCTTGGAGTAAATACTATTGCACACCATCAGTTGTCTGTCACTGTAGTGGACTTTAATTACTCCTAGTGCCTTGTGTCCAGTATGCTCACATGGCTGTGGTTTGTTTCTTTCTGAAGCCAATGAAGGCAGGAATGACTATCACCCCATGTTTTTCACCCATGACCGTGCATTTGAGGAACTGTTTGCCATCTGTATCCAGCTGTTGAACAAGACCTGGAAAGAAATGAGGGCGACAGCAGAAGATTTTAATAAGGTCAGGATGGAGAAGAGATATTTTTGTAAAATCTTTGGCAGATCAGCACATGTTCACTCAGTCTGTATATTTGGTTAAGGAGTAGGGCACAGATGATGTGACAGGGCATTGGTATGGGCTGTAAAAGAGGATGACTCAACTTTTATTTGAATGCCCTGAGGTCCTTCTTGGTTCTTCTGGATCTTCAAAGTCACAAGTATCCTGATACTCCTGGCCCTGGTTATCCCATGTCAGATCCTTGCTTCCACTGAGCTGTGCACTGATACTCTGCTGCCAACAAGAACGTGACTTGCTTTTCTTCCTGTCCCACCTCTTTAGGTTATGCAGGTTGTTAGGGAACAGATCACAAGGGCTCTGCCCTCTAAACCAAACTCCTTGGACCAGTTCAAGAGTAAACTGCGCAGCCTGAGCTATTCCGAGATTCTGCGGCTACGCCAGTCTGAGAGAATGAGCCAAGATGACTTCCAGTCCCCACCTATTGTGTACGTGCCTAACAAAAACAGTTGCCTTCTATCCCTGCCATTATCTCCATTTTCTGCTTACTCTTCCATATTTGATTGCCAGGGAGCTGAGAGAGAAAATCCAACCCGAGATCTTGGAGCTGATAAAGCAGCAGCGCCTGAACAGGCTTTGTGAGGGAAGTAGCTTTAGGAAAATTGGAAATCGCAGAAGACAAGGTAAGGAGACAGTGTCTACTGTATTTTTTCATGTGAAGAACTGTAGCAAAAAAGATCTAATTAATTAATCTGTCAGCAGGCATGTTGCCAGAAAGAAAAGCTGGTTACTTGGCTGTCCATATCAGCCAGTAGTTTGGATGGCACAAATGTGCATTTCTAAGAATACAGCCATCCCCTCATGAATAAGAAGCTGTGCTGAGGAGCTGGGCGAGCAGATGGATTGGGTGGAGAGGCTCATAGTGGCTGTGAGACCTTGTGTGAATGATCTTGCTCAGCTTACCCTTGGTGTGTGTTCCAGAAAGATTCTGGTATTGTCGCCTGGCTCTGAATCACAAGGTGCTACACTATGGAGACCTGGAAGATAATGCCCAGGGGGAAGTGACCTTTGAATCTTTACAGGAAAAAAGTAAGTCCTGATTACAGGCTGTGCACTCTTCTGTGCTCTGCTGTCTAGAGGCTGAATATAATCCTAGCTAAAGATGAAAGGCAGCAGGCTGAAGCCCTGACTAAGGAGATACCAACTTTTGGTCCTTGCCCAAATTCTTAAAATCTTGGAATTAGTTGATAGTTCTTTTTTAAAAGCCAGCTGCAGGGATGTCTTCCTGGTAATGTGTTTTGGAAAACTGCACTAATGAGCTAAAAAACAAACAGTGTCCAGTTGCAAAGACAAAACAAAGTTCTGTATTTTCCTGGTTAGGATTGCTTGTTTGGGAGTTTTACTTTTTCACTGTTAGTTCCAGTTGCAGACATCAAAGCCATTGTCACAGGGAAGGATTGTCCACACATGAAGGAGAAAAGTGCACTGAAACAGAATAAGGCAAGTGCTCCCTTTTCACTCTCATTAATATCTAATGCTGTTGTGTTTGAGATTGAAAGCAAGCAAGAGGAGTGAATGATCTCCCCCACTGCAGGTGTGCTGTGTACAAACCCCAATTCTTGTCTGAGCCCTTTCCTAGTGTTCCTTTGTGACTGCGAGGGGCTGTAAGCATGATTGTGCTGTAGTCTCTTCAGAATTGCTCACAATACCAGTGTGAGAAAGTGCACTGAGCTCAGCAAGGCAGCTCTCTCGAGGTGGCAGGCAGAAGGGGCTGTAATGTTCTGTTCAGCTGGTGAGTGAAAGATTCTTTTCCATTTAGGAAGTGTTAGAATTGGCCTTCTCCATATTATACGATCCCGATGAGACCTTGAACTTCATTGCACCTAATAAATATGAGGTAAGAAATGTAGTGGTTAAATAGTAGAATATATAGCAATTAATTTCAGAGATTAAGAAGGATCAGTTGCTTCTCATTAGAGATTCAAGCAGGCTGTCTCTCACCAGGTTCATTCCTAGAATATGTTGCTGATGCTTTATATGAACCATCTTTTTTCCCCATTAGTTATCTTTTCATTTAAAAAGAAAAAAAATTTCCACACTAATTTCCCCTAGCCTGCACTGTTTTTTTTTCCTCCTATGATGCCTAGAATAGGTTTACTTTTTTCATTTGTTGTGCCACAGTAGAAACTCTTGTCTTTCTAGTACAACCATGGGCTTAGACTTTGCTCTAGGCTTTTAATTTCCATTGGAAATGGAAGTGGGCACTATTTTAGAGCTGGGGGTGGGATTTTTTCCCTACATATTAACTCACTCCAGTATTTCCTGTCCTAAAGTTCTCTAATTTTTGCATGGACAGAAAGAATCGACATAAGGTGTCATTTATACCTGGAGTCGTGAATGACCCCTTCTTTTCCACAGTACTGTATCTGGATTGATGGGCTTAACGCCCTCTTGGGGAAGGACATGTCCAGCGAGCTGACCAAGAGCGACCTGGACACGCTGCTGAGCATGGAAATGAAGCTGAGGCTCCTGGACTTGGAGAACATCCAGATCCCCGAAGCGCCGCCGCCGATCCCCAAGGAGCCGAGCAGCTACGACTTCGTGTACCACTACGGCTGAGGGCCCCGGGCCCGCCGGGCCGTGCGGCCGGGGCCGCCGCTCGCTGCCGTGCCGCGGGCTCGGCCCGGGGGTCCCGGCGCCGCCCGCCTTTTGTATCGGTTCCAATAATAACCAGTAGCGCTCCTGGCCGCCGCCGCCTCCGCCTCTTTCCGCCCTGCGCGGAGCGTCACCGCTGCGCGCCCGCCCCGCTCCGCCAGCGCCGCTCGTTCCCCCGCCCCGCCGGCCAACGTCACCGCCGGCCCCGCTTCCCCCGCCGCCACGGCCCGCTCAGCACCGCGGCCCCCGTGCCCTGCCCCGCCCTGCCCTGCCCTGCCGCGGCCCCGTCACCGCGTCCCCCGTGCCCATCCCCGGTCCCTCCTGGCTCCCCAGGCGCTGCCGGGCGCATGGCGGCGGGGGCGGGCGGCGCGGCCCTGGGGCGGGCGGCGCTGGCGGCGCCGCTGGTGCTGCTCTACTACGGCTTCTCCATCGGCATCACCTTCTACAACAAGTGGCTGATGAAGGTGCGGGGTGGCGGGGCGGTGCGGGGCGGCGGCGGCGGGAGGGCGGCGGCGGTGACAGCGGCTGTCGGTCCCGCAGAGCTTCCCGTTCCCGCTGTTGGTCACGCTGCTGCACCTGCTGCTCATCTTCGCTCTCGCGGCGCTCGCCCGCGCCCTGGAGCGCTGCCGCTCCGGGCGGCCGCGGGCAGCGCTGTCCTGGGCCGACTGCCTCCGCCGGGCCGCCCCCGCAGGTACGGCCGGGCACGGGAGAGGGGCGGCGGAGCGGGAGCGGGACACAGGACTGGGGCACGACAATATATGAAAGATGTTGGAGAGCATCCAGAGGAGAGCCACGAGGATGGTGATGGAGTGGAGGGGAAGCCTTGTGAGGAGCGGCTGAGGTCACTTAGGTGTGTTCGGTATGGAGAAGTGGAGACTTAGGGGAAACCTTATCGTGGTCTTCAGCATCCTCACGAGAGGAAGCAGAGGGGCAGGCACTGATCTCCTCTTCACTCTCATAACCAGTGACAGGATACAAGAAAACATAAAGGTGAATCAGGGGAGGTTTAGGTTGGATATTAGGGAAAGGTTTTCACCCAGAAGAACAGGCTCCCCAGGGGAGTGGTCATGGCACCAAGACTGACTGAGTCCAAGACATATTTGGACAACACTCTCAGGCACAGGGTGGGATTCTTGGGGTGTCCTGTGCAGGGCCAGGAGTTGGACTCAATAATCCTGGTGGGTCCCTTCCAACTCAGCATATTCAGTGACTCTGTGAGAATGCTCAGAGGTGCCTGTGGCACTCTGGCTGCTTCCAGAGCCCTTTGCCCTTTGCCTAGGGTGGTTGGGGCCAATCCCCTGGGACAGGGTGAGCTGTGGGCTCCAGCCATTGCTCCGGCCCCTGTGCTTCCCTACCAGGTGTAGGGCAGGTGTAGATGCTACCTGAAGGTTCAGCCTGAGACATGCCACCTTCACTGCTCATCACAGAGATGTATAAGGATAGGGAGAGGCCACACAGAATGAATCTTTCTGAAGGAGTCACCCGCACAGAACCTTCTGCAGTGCCTTGATGAGTTGTGTCTGCAAGTAACATTTTCTCTTCAACGCTGGTATCAAGCCGTGTGTTGCATCTTTCTCAGGGTGGAGCTTGGTAGAGAATTCATCATTCATGGCACACAGAACTATCTGAGACCAAGGAGTGAAGCTCCTGCTTGGAGCACAGAACTGTAACTACTTCTGCAGTTCTTTGGCTGTGTTATATTGGCTCCCACAGAACAGCATCTGGTCTATGATCTCTGGCAAGGTTTGCAGTACCTTACATAATGTGCCCCATGGTTTCTTGAAAAAAGTTTTCTCCACATCTGCAGCAATTTGACCTTTCAGCATGGCCTGCCCTTGGATCAGTAACACTGTTTCCTGTGGTAGGAAACTTACACAGAAGGGAGAATAGACTGTACCAAAAGCTGCACCAGGGTTAAAGTTGTGTGCAGATAATTGTTGCTTTTTCAGGTTTCTTGCAGTGGCCATCAGACTTACAAGTTATCATGTTCTGACACAGTCAAGAAAGACTTTATGCAAATCTGCAATCACTTTCAGTCACAGGGAGGGCAAAAGTTATTTCTGGCTTTTTTGTAATGCATGTTGAGCGAGTGCAATGCTGAGCCCAACTTGAGTCACAGGGAACAGGACAGAAACATGAAGAGCTGAGAATATCTGAGTTCTGTTGGTTCTGAAGAACTAACTTGAGGAAAGCTTATTTTTTCCCCTGGGTCTGCTCTGCTGTCTGTGGCCATGAAGCAGGGTTTTGTGGTGGGTTTGTTTCATGTCACAGGGTTTGGTTAATTTCAGGACTTTTTCATTGATTCTTTAGCTCTGTCAACTTCCTTGGATATTGGGCTGAGTAACTGGAGCTTCCTGTATGTCACTGTCTCCCTGTGAGTACAAACACCTCGTTCCCAGGGAGCCTCTGGTGGGGTTTGGAGAGTGCTTTGCCAGGGTCTGTTCCTTGGACAGTGTTTGGTTGGTGGGGTCAGCATGCAGGGTCTGTGATAGCTTGCTGGTGGCAGTGTAGGAACGGGTGATGGTTCCTAATAGTGCTTTGATGGGAAGAGCTACATTGAAGGAGTCTGACAGTGTATTTTGGTCCTTACAGCTACACGATGACCAAATCCTCTGCCATTCTCTTCATCCTGCTTTTTTCACTGCTCTTCAAGCTGGAGGAAATGGTAAGAGTCCCACACAATGCTGTAGGGAGGGAGGTCAGACCCAGGGAAACAGGCAGTGCATGCACAAGAAACATGTGAGCAGAGGAATGATGCAGTTATGTGGGTGAATCTGGAAGGAAGGAGGTGCCTGTCCCCGTTGTGTTTGCTCTCCTGCAGAGGGTGACGTTGCTGCTGGTGGTTCTGCTCATTGCTGGGGGACTCTTCATGTTCACCTACAAGTCCACACAGTTCAATGCACAGGGGTTTGTGCTGGTGCTCTGTGCCTCTTTCCTGGGGGGCATTCGCTGGACTCTCACACAGATCCTGATGCAGAAGGCTGAACTGGGTATGTGGGGTGCCAGGAGGGGGCGGTGGTGCTGGTGACAGGGAGGGGAATAAGGGGAATAAGAATTGCTACAGAAACAAAACATCTCAGGGAGGTGTTTGAAACCTTGGGCACAGAATATCTGTAGGTGGGTAATGAAGGTGGCTGGGTGTCTTCAGCAGCACAGGTGTGGGCATCACAAATAAGGTGTATGTCTAGGAATGGTGCTAATAAAAGCTCTGGGACCTGTGTTATTCCCTGGCATGTTGCTGCCTGCTCTGTTATTGATTCTCCTCTTTCAGGTCTCCAGAATCCCATTGATATCATGTTTCACCTGCAGCCGCTCATGTTCCTGGGGCTCCTCCCACTCTTTGCAGTGTTTGAGGGTGCGTGAGTTCATCAGAGAAAGCAGCGAGAGCTTTGTAAAGTGGTTGGGAGATTGCTTAGCAGTTTGTTGTTGGAGATAATTCACTTAGATAAGTGAACAGCTATCAACTCTGCAAAGTAGTTAGAGACCTGGATTTACCTTATGTTGGCAGAACGTTAAAGAGTGCATAGGAGTAGTAGCCTGCCACACTTGTGGAAGTAAGGGCTGGGAAGAACTGGCTCCACATCCTCCTCATACTGGAATGTGAGCAGCCCACCCCATCAGTCTTATTAAGAGGAATCCTGGGAGCTGGGAATGGTATTCTGCTACTCATTGTCTTCTTCCTAGGCCTTCCTTTGTCCATATCAGAGAAGCTCTTCCGTTTCCATGAAGCAGGAATGCTGTTCTCTCTGGTAGGGAAGCTGTTCTTGGGTGGAATTCTTGCCTTTGGTCTAGGCTTTTCTGAGTTCCTCTTGGTTTCCAGAACGTCTAGCCTCACCCTTTCCATTGCTGGCATTTTTAAGGTAAGGCATGATTCCTGTGAATAAGGTGAAGGCAAGTAGTGAGTCATCCCTGTTGGGCTTTATGTGCTGGGAGCTTGCTTAGATACTTAGAAATTTTTGCTTGTTATTTTTTTTCTCCTTGCACAGGAGCTTGATTCTTTACCTTGCAGTGAAGTCTCTTGGTCCCTGACAGCAAAGGGCCAGAGACTAGTGGCTGTTCTATAAAAAATACCATTAATGATCAAAGTTTGTTGGAATGTGGGCTAGACTAAAACCCAGTGCCCTTGTGAACAGATGGTGTGGAAGAGAGGAGGGCAAGCTCTTGCATCAGACCTGCATATGACCAAACCACTGGCTTGAGCTATCTCTGTAGCCTAGTTTGGCACATCCTCCCCAGAGGAGTGCAGCACACATACTTTTGAGCTGAACTGTGATATATGAAATCTCTCTGATCCAGAAGTTGAAGAATTCCTCTGTAACTGAGCTATGCAGTCAGATGACTTAAAATCCCACATCCTGGTTTGACAGGTTGTTTGTTTCTAGAAACTGTTTTTAGAACTCTGTGCGCATGAAAGAATGTGCTGATAGAAATTTAGCAGCCTGACATCTTGATCTAGGCTTCAGCTGAAAAATGTATCATGCATATCTCCTCAGGTCCTGCCCTGCCACTTGTCATGTTTTTTTTTATTTCCACAGGAAATCTGCATTTTATTCCTGGCCACACATTTACTGGGAGACCGCCTCAGTCTCTTGAACTGGCTGGGCTTTGCTGTCTGCCTGTTGGGAATCTCCCTCCACATTGTTCTCAAAGCCATGAATTCCAAAGGTGATTGTTTTAAATCCCTTTCTCTTTCTCTGTAAGCTTTCTCATTGCTTCACTAGGAGCTGTGCCTGGTTCCAGCACCTTGGCAGCACCAGGTTTGGTGGGAATCCAGCAGGTTTGTCACTAAATGGGCTGTGTGCATGCAGGTGACAAAGCACTGGAGCCACACAAAGAGGCCAGCTCTGACCCTGACCTGCAGCTGCTGCTGCGCCACCCCGAGCAGGCTGAGGAAGAGGAGGAGGTTGTTGAAACCCCACAGCAGCACTGACTGAACATGAAGCACAAAGCCACCTGCTCTGTTCTTACCTAACCTGCCTGACAGCTATCCAGGAGGAAGGTCCAGAAGTCTCTGTGACCTCCCAAAGCAGAGCCAGGGCCCCGGGAGAGAATTCTGCTGCTTTGCTACAGTGTGGATCTGTAGATGCTGCACAAGAAAAGGCAACATCCCTTCCACAGGAGCTTGGAAGACAAGCCCTGGTTCAGTGGGTGTAGAATGGCAAGGTGAGACAGGGAAAAGCTGTAAAAAGTCCATCAGGGGATCCTGAAGGCTGTTTACTGAGAATGTAGACCATGAGCTGTAGAATGAACATGGAAATGTCTGGACTGCAGGCTGAGTGGTTCAGGGATGATTTTACTGCTGTTTAGGTTTTGACTTCAAAGGAGAAGGTAGATACACCTCCCCCTTTTTTTTATGTTTCTGCAAGTTCAGAACTCCCATCCTGGTGGGATCACATGACTGAATAAATCCCTGGAGTTGTCCCAGCGAGGACCCCCTGCCTGGGGACCTCCATGTTCTGTGTGCATAGTAAGGAGAGAATTAAATGCTGGTATTTGGGACCAGTTGAAAATGATGAACATTTCCAGATGATGTAGGTTGGAGTGAAGACAGGGATGCAAGAGTACTTCTGGTGCTACAGGCCAAGAGGAGAATGAGCAGTGTCACAGGAGATCTAACTTGAGCAATAAGCTTATGAGCAAGTATGTGTGGTTTTGAGGGGGGGATTTTTTGTTTTTTAAATAAACTCTTTTTCTGATTTGCTTTTGTCTGTACATTCTGTACCTATGCTTCATCAAGCAGAGGTCATTTGTCTTCTCAGCTCCTTTCCTTTTAGTCCTCCACTGACCTTGCTACTGCATATCCATAAGGCCTGGCACACAAAACATTTGCCCAGCTATCACTGATCTCTAGAATTAGGGAGATGTTCTGCAGCCTCTCATATTTATGCCAGCCAAGAGAACTTACTGACTGCTCTGCCTTAATGCACCATATCCCAAGAGAACTTCTAGCAGTGTGGCTTTTTGTAAGAATCTTATCTCTTTGCCCAATTTGATTGGATCAGGTAGTGCTGCACTCCAGGAAGGGGGAATATCAGCATTTAAGATGTCATTTTCCTTGCTGCTAAGCCTCAAGTGGTGTTGGGCAGGTGGCTGGTTTTTTGCATGGCAGAATTTCCACATCTTTCAAAGTTTTGTTCAGTGCTAGCTTTTGTAGTTTTTAGAGTAGAAATACCTTGACAGAGTTTCCCAAAGGGATAACAGTACAGTCTTTCTCCTGGCAGGAGCTGGGTATTAAAGTGAACTTCTCATATTCTGTTTGAGAGCCTGAGCCATTTTGACTAAACAGTTCTTTTGTTATCTTGCTTCTTAGTTTTCAGATATGAGGTCTTTCTTGATGACTTTAATCAAGAGCATGTCCTGTAAAAAACTGGTTCTGAAGAAAACTTTAGTTATTAGTGATCATCTTTGATCACGTTCTGGTAACTGGCTTCACAGCAGACAGCAGGTGGTGCAGCTTCCTCATGTAAAGCTGCTGAACCAGCACGTCCACACAGCCTGGCAGACCAAGGGCTTCTGTGCATCAAGGAGAATGTCTGGAGCTGAGAATGACTTGCTCTGGCCCTAGCTGTACTTCCCAATAACTGGGGATGCTTCCAGCAGGATTCACCCTGTTTGCCCTGCCAATAGCTGTGAGCTGCAAGCCCCAAATACTCTGTGCTTGATGTGGGGCAGTGGCACTTCCTGCCCATGAACTGGGTTCAACAATGTCACAGCTGCTCCTTCATTTCACTTTCCACTCTCCTACAACTGAACCTTGGGAATTCTTCTGCTATGTAACTGCCAGACTGAGATTTCATGTCCCTGTAAATCCAAGGTAAAGGCAATTTCATTCTCAGGCCAGGATTTGCACCAGATATGGTGCTTGAAGATGAAATCCAATTGTGCTTGCTTGTGAACCATGTAGTCTGTTGCTTCCAGCCCTGTTTCCTTTTAAAGTCAGAGGTGATGCCCCTCAACTCCAGCTCTGTCTTGGAGCTCCTGGAACATGGCAGGGTTGTGGGCAGGCTTGGGAGGGGTGGGGTGGGACTGTGCTGGTGTAGGGCAGTGCAGCAGAGTGTTAAAGCAGCACCACAGCTCTGCTGAACACTGTCCATCGTGCTTGAACGGGCACTAATATTTAATGAAAGGAGAAAGAACCTTTGCCCACCCTCTCATATAAGGAAAAAACCCTACTGTGCATTGAAAATGCTGGAAATGGAAAAAGACACAAAGATGAAGGACTTGGAGGAGGGAGCCAGGAGTGCTGCAGCAATGGCACAAAATAAATGAGAATGCACAATCCTGTAGTGAGTGTTGAAGTACAGACTGTAGGCATGGAGAAGACTGGAGTCTATTGAGGAGGCAGGATGGAGGCATGGACAGGATGGTATTGGAAGCTGGGAGTGCCAGTAAATCCTGTTTGCCTCTGGAAATAGCCCTGTGTGGCTTTGCAGTGCCTTGGCCAGAGGTAGCCGAGGCCTCTTGGTGCTGCTGAAGCTGTTTGAGGCTTGGATTGAGGCAGTGGGCTTGGGGTGGGAAACCTGGGAGCCCCCGGCCGTGTGTGCAGGCACAGAGCTTTGTCTCCTGCCTTTAGGAGGTCTCTTGGTGACCTGGGAGCCCCCAGCCGTGTGTGCAGGCACAGAGCTTTGTCTCCTGCCTTTAGGAGGTCTCTTGGTGCCACAGTGGGGTCCCTGTGACTGTCTGACAGGAGTGGTGCAGCTCACTGCTTGTGCAGACCATTTTCTGACAAGCCCCAAGCCAGGGGCCACTTTAGGGGACAGGGGAAGCAGCTTTCAGCACAGACAAACATTGTGTGGCACAGTTTGGCTCTGCCCCCTTCCTCAGAGGAAGTGTGTGAAGGCTGAATGTCCTGCAAGAGCTCTGGAGCAGGGCAGTGCCAGGGCCACGTGTGCTGCAGCAGCACAGGAGGATGAGCCCTGCTGTGGGGAGGGCTCAGGGCTGTGTTTGTGCTGCCCTGTCTGTGCCAGCCCCTCACCACCACAGCCACCCTGGCAAGGGAGGGCTGCCACTGAATATTGATGGTGTTTGAACTCATTAAGCAGCGGAAGCAAAGCTGAATGAGTCTCAGAAGTGCTGCACTCCTTCCTCAAACTCTGTTCCTGCCTCTAAGACCAGGTGTTTACATGTGTGATGATTCTGCCTCCCCACACATCCCCCTGGGAGACCTCTTTATTTGAAGAACAGATGCTTGGCTTCCTGCTAAAATTTCAGTACCATAAACATCCTGAGGGCAAGGAGAAAGTGTCCCTGCAGACCCCCCTGCACTCCTCTGGTCCTGTGCCCAGCAAACCAGGTCTGTAACACCAGTGGGCTTGCTGTGGGGAGGCAAGCCTGTCTCCAAAACACGCGGGAGTGGCAAGGCAGAGCAGCAACGTGGGGCCTGGTGCCAGCAGTAGGGATGCCTCAGGATGTGCTTCGTTTCTCATTGCAGCTGAATATCTCTGTAGGATTAATTACATGGTTTGTGGTTGGTGCCTTGTGAGGTGGGGAAGGGGGAGCTCAGGGTGTAGATGGGAGGAATGCTGGTTACTGCCAGCCTGGGGCTTTAAAGGGCTCACATTCTTCTGCAGTCTCTGCAGTGGTAAATAACTGCCTCTGACTCTGGTACCCCTGCTGCTGCACTCTTGGTTTTTCTCCTTGCTGGGGTATGCAGATTTTGATGTTCACAGCCATGGATCTCTGCAGGATTTTTCAGGGAATTCCACTTTCCATTGTCCTCTTGCCATCATTGGCACAGTACATCTGCATCAGCCTCCTTCCTCACAGCCACATCACCCCCAGGAAGGCAAAGAAGAGCAGAGAGGTGGGGGAAAGGCAACTGGGCAAGAGAAGTGTAGAAATGGCAAAGAACATGGATGGTTGGAGATCACCATCACAGCACGGTTCAGGTTGGAAAGGACATTGGGGGTCATCTTGCCCGAGCTCTTGCTCAAGCAGAGCCAGCCAGAGCTGCTGCCCAGGAGTGTGTCCTGATGGCTTTGAATATCTCCAAAGATGGACACTCCACAACCTTTCTGAGCACCCTGTGCCAGTGTTCAGCCACCCTCAGGGAAAAAAGTGTCTCCTGGTGTTCAGGGGGAACCTCCTGTTTCAGTCTGTGCCCATTGCCTCTGTCTCTGGGCACCACTGAACAGAGCCTGGCTCCATCCATTTTCCACCCTTCCATCAGGTATTTATTGACATTGCCAGATTTCCCCCTGAGCCTTCTCCAGGCTCAGCAGTCCCAGTTCTGTCAGCCTTTCCCCAGATGTGAGGGGCTCCCAAGCCCTTCATAATCTTTGTAGCCCTTTGCTTGTCTCTGCAGTATGTCTGTGTGTCTTGTAGTGATGAGCCCAGCTCTGGGCACAGCACTCCAGGTGTGGCCTCAGCAGTGCTGCCTAAAGGCAGGAATCAGCTCCCTTGATCTGCTGGCAGTTCTTTACCTGGCCCAGGATATTGTTCCCTTCTTTGTGGCAAGGGCAGGCTCTTCACTCGGGTGAAGATGCAGGTGTGCAAGAACCTGCCCAGTCTAACACTGCAAGAGGTTTGCTGGGGCAGAGGGCTGTCCTACAACACCTACAGTGGCATAAGGAGCCCCTTTCATCTCATTTTGTGCTCTCCAGCCTTGCAGAGCTGTGTAATTGCTGTATCTATCAGTGCTCCTTGCTTTAACAGGCAGTAATTGGCACCTGTGTTAAAGAGCCTGGTTTCAATTACTGCTGAATGCAGCTCAAACTCCAGAGCTGCGAGATTACAGGGGGGAGGAGCTGTCCTGCTCACGTTTACACTCTGTTTTTCCACCAGGTGCTCCTCTTTCCCCAGGGATGGAGCTTTTTTCCGTTTCTTGCTTGTGCCTTGAATCTGCAAAGCTGCCAGCAAAGGCAGCCTGGGCAGAGCGAGGCTGTGCCTCCTCTCAGGAGCACAGAGCCCAGCTCTGTTCTTCCTCATGTGGATGTTCCTTGCAGAAGCCTCTGCTGCACATCCTGCCCTGAATGGTGGGGAGGAAATCAAATCAGTGTTTTAGGCGGTGGCGTTCCCCCAGCCCCTTGCAGCAGCAACCCTGGGGCTTTCCCATTCCCTGCCCTCTGCTGCTCCTCTCTCTGTCTGCTTTCCAGTGCATCAGCGCTCCCCCGTGTGCTGGCCCTGCCCCCTCCTGCTGCCATTCATCATTTCTGATCCAATAAATTACAGCGCCGTAAAAACGCACAGGGAATTGTTTTCTGTGTTATAGAGCCATGAGCCCTTAAATTTCCATTTGTGCAGTGCTTGATGAATGGACAGCTGTGGCTGGTGCTGGAGCCATGGGGAGTGATGGGAGAGCTCTGACTACAGTCAGGGCTCCCTCCTGCAGCCTCAGCACAGAGACCTCATGGGTTATGAGGCAATACCTGTCTGGGTATTCCAGCAAAGCTGCTCAGCTCATAGCTGGGGTCAAAGGAGGGCTTTGCAGAGGCTAAGTCAGAACATTCAGGCGTTGTTCCCACCCTGTGGTGGTGGGAGTTTTATCATGGCTGGGAGGGAGCTGCTGGGTGGGATGCCAGGGTAAAAAGCTGTGCTGTAGAAGCAGGACTGGGAGCCTGGGGCCCATCAGCTCCCTGAAGGACACGTCAGAGAGTGGGTAGGAGCCTGAATTCAGGAAATGGGGATAAATGGAGAAACCTGGCACAGTGTGTGGGCAGTGGGACAAGGAGGAGGACGGGGATAGCTGGTACAGATG